AAAAAGGCCAAAACCCCCATCCCGCTGACTAAAGGCTATGTCTCTGTTCAGTGGCTCACTCGAGGCCAGCCTGCGGGGCTTGGGGCACAGGGATGGGCCTGGTCCCCTGTGAGGATGCTGCCTGCCCCCCAGGTCTCTGCCTGCTGGCTGTAGGGGAGCTGCAGAGAGCAGGGCGACAGCGTACCATCGCCACAAATTTGGTGATTACTGCCATGCTCGCTTGGCAGACCCATATGCTGTGGGCACATACAGATCATAGCCCACCTCTGCAGCCAAGCTTGGAAGAAAGTTCAGGGGTTTGATTCCAAATACGTTTCTTTAGACACATAACTTGAGTTCCAGTGCTATTCTGTTGAAGGAATCCTAGAAAGTAGCTACCGCCGCTTTGATGTTGTTACTGTCCAGAAACATCTGGATCTGCATCTTCTTTGTATTCCGTTTGGATAGTTAAGCTGCCTGTCCTGTTGTGTTTCTTATCTTAAAAGCAAAACTTCTATTCAGATTGGAGAAAATATAATAAAATTAGCATTTAAAAAAATACTTTGACTTTCTTTTATTCAAGGATTAGAAGATACTAATGTGAAGTTTTTATTTGGTAAGTGCTCTATTTGAGATCTTGGTTTAATTAATGTTAATGACAAATTTATAAATCTATGAAATGAAAAAAATTTAGAATGGAAACTTAAAAGTTGTATTGTATAATCATCATATATTGCAACTATGCTTTTGCAAGAAGGCAACTCTTGCTTTATTCCTAAACAAATTGCTTACTCTAAATGTATGTTCCAGCTGCTTGCTGTGACTGCTGAATCATAACCAACTTTGTGCTACAGTCTTTTGTGCTAAGGAGGTGATTGCAAAAGTGCCAGCAGTGCTCCCTTAACAGCATGCCACATCTGCCACTTTGCACTCGGTCATGAGATAACATAGCCATTACCTAACCGATTCTCCTTGGTTCTTTAACTTGGCTGGAAACTGGAAAGAAAATGTTCATGAGCTGCTTAAGAAAACTCCAAACATGATTTGCAGTTGGAAAAAAAATAAATGAATGGTCATAATATTAAAGGAAGCTCTGTCAAAAATGCAAACGTGGTCACAGCACCAGATGGTACAGCTACAGAAATTTTCTTTATAGATCCCTTTTGAAGCCACAGAAAAAGGCTGAGCAAATGGCTCAGGTGGGAGTCTGAACCCACCTTTATCAGCTGAGTTCCTGAACCCAAGCTCCTGCAAGTTCCAATTCAGCGACACTGTGTAATGAGGCAAATGTCATCCTGCTTGTGCCTGCTGGGTCAGAGGATCACTGTGCTCTGGGATCCCATGTCCTGGCGTGCAGGGAGGAATTCAACTTAAGGTTAGGATTCACCACGCTGCTGGGTTAGCATCCAAACTTGAACTTCAGTGGGATTGCCCTTCCCTTCAGAAAGGCCTAATGCTCTAATGTTCTGTAGTTAATGCTAAAATGCTGTGTAAAATACCTGCAAACAAAAAAAATTTCTGTAGATACGTTTTGAAATTCTGAGTTCATCTCTGCATATTCTATGGAACAGTGAGCTTTTACTGATAAATTTCTTATGGCTTTTATAGAATCACGGATAGAAAAAAAAATCCCCCCTCCCAATAGGAAAATAAATAAAATATACTGGGATACACCTACAAGAGATTGCTAATAATATTTTAAAGTCTAATTTCATAGGTAACTGGCTAAAAGAAAATGGCTTAGCTAGAATTGTTAAAAATAAAGCGACAGTCAAGAATACCACAAAGCAACTAAAATAATCCAGTAAAAAAATTCAGAAGTTTTTAATAGGGCAACATCTTGCATAGGACTTTAAGATTTGAAGATGCATTCTCTATGTATGTTTTACCTAAAACAAACAGGCAAAACTGGTTAGTAATCACCGCAGTTTTGTGCAGAGGTTGACAGGTTTGGAATGAATGAATAATTATATGGTGCTTCCACATTATAATGGTATTCAGTGTTGACACCTGCATGCCCATTAATCTTGCTTTATGAGCAATTACCTGTAAATTGGACACTGAATGCATTTGGTTGTCACAGTCTGTTTTTTTAAATCTACTACTCGTTTATAGCTTGCTTTACTTTTGTTCTGTACCACCAGTTTTACTGGCAGAGCACTTCATATGTGGATGCTTTTCAATTGATGGGGTATGTGTCAGCAAAAAATATGCAAAGGCCTTGCAGGTCTTGAAGTGACAGATAAGAAGGTAAGAAATGTAAGGACATAGAAAATTGATGTCACAATACGCTACTATTGTGCATGGTATACTAATGGTTATTTAGCGATGGGGAGGCGAAACAGTGTTTTTTATAGAATCATATGGTTGGACAAGACCTTTAAGATCATCGAATCCAACTCAACCTGTTCACTACTACTTTTGACGAGTCTCTCATTTAATAAAGCATATGTGATCCTCATGACAGGTCACAGCTCTTTAAAAAGATACCTAGATTGGTCAGGCATTACGTAGCCAGCTGAAACTGTGTGTTGAAACTCGCTGCTAGAAGATAGAGAGAGGTGAAATCTCAAGGAAGGGCAAAATGCTCATTTTAAGCATTATTTGTTAGGGGCAAACATAAATTGAAACAGCTTGAAAGGAAAACCATGGCATGATATGGGCTATGCCCGAGTTTGTCTAGAAGTTCAGTCCTCTTCCTAACTCAGGTCCCCATATCCCTTGTGCTGCTGCTGTGGGATATCTGCACAAAGGCAAATTTACCCTTGGTTAATGAAGGGGCTCTTGCAATCACAGCTGGGCTTCCTAGGGCTCATTCCTTCGTGAACTGCATCTCCAGCATCCTCCTTTACATAGCAGAAGATGGAAAAGGATTTAGTAAAAACCTTTGTGG